CCTCCACCAGTAGCTGCCACCAGGCTGGGTGAGGTGCTGCAGCCAGGCTCTGGAGCGCTGCAGCTTCGCTCCCGTGGCATTAACCCGGAGCTGGCTGTGTTAATTGCAATCTCAGCTGGTGTTCAGACTCATCGGTCAGCGTTGCACTGAAATGCTTCTCCGCGGCTGCTGGGTGCAGGACCAAAACCTTCAGGCAGGACTCTGGTCCCCAGGGCCAGCGTCTCCAGAAGTTACCTTCAGCTTCCCCAAAAAGCTGGAGCAGAGCTGCTTAGGGCAGTGGGGAAATGGAGTTGTGCATTAATACAGCCCCGAGATAAACCTTTTATTTTCTAAGGGGAATAATGTTAGACCCTGCTGCTCTCCTTTGCTGCTTTTTACGGCGTCCTGGATGGAAGCCTTCACCTACAAATCATGTTGGAGCCGTGTTTGGGTCATGTTGGAGCTGTGTTTGGGGCCACCCTGCCAAGGCAGTTCCCATCTGCAGGTGCAGGACTGGCCCTGGGGAAAGTGCTGGTGTTTACGGAGCTGGTAGGAGCTGCTTGCTCTGGGGCCCTGACCGCAGTGGTGTGTTATTTTTACCAGCCACACATCTTGGGCTCTCCCTAGAATATATTTGCCACATCCTTGTCCTTTCAGGTGTTGGAAAAGACTTTCTTCCAGCTTTTCTGTAAATCCCTTGAGGATGCTGTTTGCACTTGGCTTATTTTTTTCCCCTAGAAGAGCTGCCATGAAATTCTTCTGGAGGTTTTTGGTTGCTGGCGCTCCCTCACCGTGAGCTTTAAAGTGTTGCCAGGGGAATACCTAAAAGCTGTTGGCTTCCCCAGAAACACCAGCGGGACTCCAGAGGCTGCCTTGGGTGTACGGCGCTGGGCTGGGTGCTTGGTGTGTGGCCTCTGGAGGGCACCCATGCCCCAGCCTTCTGGGACAGCCACAGGCTTCTGTGCTTCCCCTTGGCCCAAGGGTTCTCAGGGAGGTTATTGGGGTTTTGGGGGCATTTTTGTTTTCTTTCTGGCTTCCTTCCAGTTTCAGTCAGGGCAGTCCACTGCAGAGAGAACTGTGTTTTATACAGCTGCCTAATTAAATGAGTGTGCCTGCGGTAAACCCTTCTGCTCTGAAATGGGGTTGTATGTCACGCTGGGTCTGGGGATGGTGCAGAAGAGGAGGAGTGGGGGATATGGCAGCAGAGCTGAGCGGTCCCTGTGCAGCAGAAGAGATCAGACCCATTTCTGCTGTAGGCAAATGTCCAGCCTCTGCTATAGATCAGATTCACCACTAGACATGAGAAGTCAACAGAAGCATCCTTATCTGTAGCAAAGGAGGGTATTTCAATAATACTTAGGTTTTTTGGGTGCCATGCAATGACTTTTGTGCTGCAGCTGAAAATATGACTGCAAAGAGCATTCTCTAGCATCCATGTGAATTATGTCAAAATCTGAATGTTAGGAAAAAAGGAAATAATTTGAGGTGTTTGCCTGCCTCGGAGCTGAATCTCACACTTTTTAGAGTAACAGTTTCAGTAAACACGAGCACTGAAAAGACCCCATTTCTGTATTTCACATCCTGGTTTTTAACCACCTCCCCAACCTGTTTCCACAGAGGTCAGAGTGTCTGGCTGCAGCTGGATCACCGAGTCCTGGACCATGACTTGCCCAAGAAACCAGGCCCGGCAACTTTGTACTTTGCTGTTAGGTAAGTAATTGTTTCCACAAAGAAAATATTACCACTTAGGTTTATTTATCACCAGGGGTTTTTGTTTAAAAGAACTGATTACAGGTTTGATAAAGGAAATAAATGTCAAAGCAGTGTATTATTTTTAGAAGGAGATTGGGTCCTGGATAAGTGCTGCTCTCTTTTGTGTTTAACTACGAAATAAAGTAGTTTGGAACCTACTACTTCTTAAACACTTACTAGGACATTGTTTGTAGGGTTTTTTGTTTAAAACCCTGTATTTTAAATATCTTCTTTGCCTGACTTGTCTTTAATGGTGCTAGATTTTAATACAGTTTGTTTAAACAATTGCACTCACTTTTTCCTCTTACATTTACTTAAGGGTTGTCTGTACTTGAAAGCGATTGCTGATGGCTTCTTTGCTCAGACAGCTTAAGCCAGTCCCCACGAGAGAATAAAATCCCTGGCAAAATGATGGTTTTGGCCAATGTAATTGCGTTACTTTAGGGCTTTTGCTGGTTAAGGGCCTGAAAAAAACCATGTCCTATGAGATGGAGCTGTGCTGGCAGGAAAGATCAAGCATCATATTCTTAATATTGTTGGAGTTTTTGTTTTCCTTACAGTCTGTGAGGAAAATGAGAGCAGACTGACCTCATTTGCTTTTCATATCTTGGTAAATTTATGCCTTGTGTGCTTAATTATTTGAAGTACTTCCAAGGCAGAGCCTCTTCTGTAGTTGGGTTGGTTGGCACCGTCGCCTCACCACGTCCTCTGCACCCTGGTCATTGAGGGAATGGTTCAAACAAGTGGCACTTTGTTTTTGCTGAATACGTGCTTATTTGTGATGGAGTTCAGAGCTTCTCTTCCCTTCTCCACTTTTAACAGAAGGGAAAAAAAAAAAAATCCATTTTAAAAGGGTTGATGGGCTCTTCAGTGTATTCACTGTGTCTGAGGATCTGGGAGGCTGAAATCTATGACTTCCCAAGAAAGCTGTGAAGTCAGTCATATGACTTGAGCATTTCTTTGGTTGGGATTAGTGCTGTTGGCTCATGATGTTCATTTTGACCCTCTCTGCAAGATGGTCCTCTACAGGGCAGTGTGGGCAGAGACCTGGGCAAGAGTTAATGTGTGAGGAGTGGGCTTGGAAAGATCAACTTCTAGAAGCTAATTTTAAGCCTGACTACTCCAAGGTCATGAGATCCAAAACAAGCAATTAGGAGCCAAGGAGGTGGGTGGGGAGTGAGAAGCAGAGCAGGAAGAGGATACATAAATAATTAGCAACACAGAAACTGTCTGATCTGTAGAAAATAGACATTCCTGCAGAAAAGCCTCTTCAAAACCTCTCTATGTTGTTACAACTTTTTGGATAAGTGACTCCAGGCCTTTGTTCTGTGGCATGTGCCTTGGGTGGTTAGTTCAGACACTTGTCTCGTGTGAACACATTGGCCTTGCCTATGAGAACAGGTAGCCTATTCCTTAATTAAAATCCCATGAGAGCCGCTGAAATAGTTGGAGCTGTGTGTGCCCATGGCTTGGGGGGAAAAGCATAGCTGTGTGTGGGGCAAGTGGCATGGAGGGGATGGGCAGAGAGTCCCCGTGCTTGGCTCTGGTTCCCCTGGGCTGGATGTTCTCCAGCCACACATGACGTGACAGCGGTGGGTGCTGCCGCAGGGGCGGGGTGTCCCTTGGGCTGGGCGAGCCCTCCTGCACGGGCCGCGCTTTCTGTGTGTTTGAAATGGGTTCAGCCACGAATAGAACAGATGCTGCTTCAGTGTCACTTCCCTTGGAGAGGTAAGTGTAACAAGGCAGGGCACCAAGCTGCTGATCTATAACAAGTGACAAACGTTGCAACAGCATCTGTTCTCAGGATCTGTCAGCGCTGCACTGGACAGTTTCTAGGAGCAATACTGGAAATGGGGGGGATCCCCCAGATACCTGGTTTTGACCCTCCTTTTGTTCATAACCCCTTGGCCCTGAGCTTTTTCTGTTCAGTACTGAAACGCCTGATAGTCCTTTCAGATTTTAATTATTTTTCTCCAGCTGGCATAAACTCAATCCAGTCATGTAAGTTTTCATATAGTACACACAGCTGATGAAGGGCTCTATAATGTGGATTTAAGACTTTATAAAAGTGTCATTCTCATTTCAAGGATGCTGACAGCATTGGAAATAAAAGCAGAACATACACTTTATGGTGTTCCCAAGTATGCCTGTCATCCCCTGAACATCCTTATCGCTGTGGTCCAATGTTCCCCATCTGTGCCAATAAAACAGTGTACAGCTGGTACCATGGAAGAAATAGAGTACACAGACCTGGCTGGGGCAGGGGGCAAAGCCTCCCCGGTGCCCTCTCTCTAAATCTGTAGATCCTGCAGTTTCCTGCTCTGTACCAGCAGTGACTGGGAGCTACCTCTCTTCAGAGCCAGAGGTGCCATCCTGCTTCTGAGGATGTCAGCCGTGTCTGACACTTAGTTGAAAGAAAGTGCAAGTGCCAGTGAGGTCATTAGTTGAGGAAAAGCACCTTTTTGGTGCAGTGGAGGGAGGAAGGCTTTAGCAGGCTGAGGAAGGTCCATGGTGGGCCAGTCTGGCAGCAGGTTGGGAAAGGACAGAGCGAGGCTCCTGCCCTCTGACACTCTGCACTTCTGGAGAGAAACACGCAAGTGTATTTAAAGTGAAGTTTAGCAAAGCTGTTGGGGGCAGGGGAAATGATATCAGGTGCGATCAAGAGAGGGTGGAAATACCTGTAGCTCCTATAGTTCTCTGTGAAAGGTGAGACACAGAAAAGTGAAATAGCCTTTCAAAAGTTTGGGGCAGGCTGCTGGGCTTGGGTCTGCCCCTTGCAGAGGGTGCATGCCTGTAAAATGGGTAAATTACCTCCTCATCCTGCAGAGGCATTCTAGGGAGTGCTTTAAAATTCATTTGATGGAACATGCTGTAGGAATGCGAAATATTAAAACAATTACTATTTAATGCATTGGTTGTCTCAAGTCACAGCATAAATGCTGCGTAGGTTCCTAACAAGTGCAGCAGGTGCCGGCTTTACTCCTTCCTACCATGAGCTCTGTGCTGCTGCTGTAGACTTCTGCCAGTGTCTGCAAATCATCTGCAAAGAGATCAGTGGCCAGAGCTTGAGGCCGTGAGGAGCCTTAGGAGCGCCATGGGGCTGTGGGAGGCATTGGCCTGGTTCTGATAATCATAGCAGGCTGCGTGCTCTGTCTTGGCAACCTAGCCCTCCTGCTGTCAAAGGCAAGATTTTGGGAAGCCCTGATGTGGTCTGCACTGCTGGGGCAGTGGTGGTGGTGGCCCAAGTCTTTGCTTGGCTGGGACAAAAAGTGTACCTTGTGTCCAGCATTGGGCGGGGGAGTCTGGACCAAACACATTCATCCTCCATAAGGAGCTGAAGCACAGGTATCCTGCTCCTAGATCTGGCTAAAGGAAGATTGACAGGACCACGTTCACACAAATTTGTCTCTCTTTAAACTGACTTGGCAGTTCCACGCTCGTCAAATTATAGAGGTGTTTTCTCCGCACCATTTAATGCATCTCAGCGCTGTTTGGTTTGATGCCCCGAGTGAGTCAGAGAAGCGCACAGACAGGTTGCGTGCAATTTCGCAGAGTGCCTGTGGCGTACGGGATGTCTGGTGTAGCTCTGTAACAAACTGGGACCCATCTGCTAAACCGTGGCTGGGCCAGGGTGACCAGTAATGGGATGGTTTTTCTTGGTGTGTGCCTCTGTGGTGCACCCGTGGCCCTGGGAAGAGGAAGCCAAGGCTGGGCTGGGGAGGGAGGCAGCGAGCACTATGCAGAGTGGTGCCCGTAAGGTTGAGCTATTTGCAGCCCTTCCATGTAAACCCCTGGTTTTGGGACTCCTACTGTCCCTAGGATGGATGTGCCTGATGGAATGGAGCCAACCCCAAAGGGTTCCCTATGTGGTTTATTTGTTTGGAGTAAAGTGAATGGAGCTCAGTCCATGGCTGCTCTCTCCTGGAGGAAAGGTGTTCCTGTGGGGCTGCTGCTGGCCCGTCTCCTCCAGCACAGCACCGGGCTGGCTTCCCGACCTGCAACATGCCATTTGGAGCTACCTGTTCTACTTCTGTGGCTTTATTTGCATAGGAGGGATGGGTTTTGCTCTTTTAGTGTTCTAAACAGGGTTTTCAAATGAAATGAAAAGCCATCAGATATCTACGATCTATTGAACAAGGAGTTTGTCATTCCCTGTCTGCTGTCGGCCCATGATTTTTCTGCTTGTTCCCTCCTAACAGGCAGGAAATGAAGTGCAGTAGCTCATAGTTCCTCTGTGCCGTTTTATCGCTAGAGAACAAAACACTGAGGAAATAAATGATTTGGGAGGAAGATGAAACCTATTCAAGAAAGTAACTGTTTGATTTTTTTTTTGTAATTTTCAGGTTCTATATTGAAAGCATTTCCTTTCTCAAGGACAAAACTACAGTAGAGCTGTTCTTTCTGAATGCCAAGTCCTGTGTACACCAGGTAAGGCTCAGAGCTCCTTGTTATGCATCTCCCTTTTATTGCTCCTCTGCCACCTACACAGTCCTGCAAACTTGCTAGGAGCTGCGTCTGATTTCTAGATCTTACGGAATTATTAAGATCTCAGCATGCTTACTCTCCTCCTTCACTTAAAAGCTGATGCTTCAAGCAAATGGATAAGGATGATGATGGTTTTCACGGCCCTGCTGTGTGCTCACCGCACTAGAATAAGCCTTAAATACTCAAAAGCTTTCAAGTTGTTTGAAATCTGGGTCGTAACTTCGCAGGTAGGCTCTGTCTCAGTGGTGTACCCTTCTATACAAGGCATAGTAAACACTCAAGGCAAGCATCTCTTTACTGATCTTGAGTCAAACTTGTCTCAGGAGGAAAAGACCTGTAAGGAAGGTCCTACACTGTGAACTTGGTGCCTAGTTCCCTGATTCCCTGCCTTAATTCAGTGTAGTAGTAAAGTAATAAATCCTATAAAGTAGCAATCAAAGCTAGTTATTAAAATACTTTCTGTATTTACTCTCTGGTTAAGAAGCTTCCACTGGTTTCTTAAAATGTTCAGATTGGTAAAATGTGTATTTTTAAAGGTTACTTCATGACGTGGTAGCCAAAACCTTAAAAAATAAGGTTGATCTGCTGCAGATACCTCTTGGTCTGAAAGAGTGGTGTGACAGCCACCTTTGCCATGCCCCTGATAACTGGTGGTGCAATAGCAGCTGCAGTTCAATGAACTTTACTCTGGCAATGCCTGATGTTTCTGGGATTTTCCAGTTAATGTCAAACTTAGGCATCTGGTGCTGGTTTTTTTTTTACTCGTGGTTCAATCAGTCTAAGATGGCCACTCGGTTCTTACAGCCTTTTCTTGGAAAACAATCCTGCACCATTAGCTGATGGTGGAGCTTGGTGTAGCTGGCCAAAGTTTTCACCATTAATATGCTTCATATTTTAGAGGATACTTATTCAATATCCCATATTCATTGTTTTGTGGTGGGATCAGAAACCTGATGTGAAAGTGCTTAATGGAAAAGTTGTAACTGCTTTGTAGAGGAATTGCTTTCTGGAAGACTGGAGGAAACTTGGGCCTTTTTATAAAATGCTGAAGTTTTAAAGATGTTTAAAGAACTTGGGGCCTCACTGGTTAAGATTAATAAAAAGCAAATCTCAGTTTGGCATATCTGCCATTTTAAATGAAGGGTCTTGGCAACTTGTAGTCATCCTTCCAGGGGAAACTGGAACGCTTTAAACAGAGTGCAAATAATTTTGGAATTGGAAAATGGGTCTGTTTTTAGGATGGAATGTGAAAAATACCACAGCTATTGAAACAAATGCTGTCAACATCAAAACATTTGGTGCAAGTATACGTATTTATGTATATGCATAAAGCATAAGAGAAGGCAAAGGAAGGAAGAGGCATGAAATACCTTCCATCACTGATCGTAGGCACACATGTCATCAAACCAATAGTCACTTCTGCTCTGGATAAATGTTGTTCTTCAAGCAGCACAACTTCACGTTACTGAAATGAAGTGCTGATAGCACGTGAAGCGCTGACGGTGCACGGAGTGCTGTGGTAAGCGGACTGTGCATCATCCAGTTGAGTTCAGGGCTTCAGGAGGTGGGAGAGGCTTGAATGAAGGCTGGGTCCTATTTTCCCCCCATGCCTTGTGAGGCGTGTGCTCTAATTGGTAGCAACCCAAAGTGCCAGCTTCCCTCTTCCTGCAAGCAAAACTGCCAGAAGCAGAGAGGGTTTTGTGTTGTGTCCAGTTTCTGTGGGCAGCAGAGGGATGAGGAGCATCGCTTCCTCCTGAGAGGAGGATCTCTGCGGGCAGCGCCGAGCGATTCAGCACGTAACGAAAGCAGAGAGCCCCTGCTCTGCCTGCAGCACTTTCTGTGCTGGGCAGCTTCAGCCGGAGCCCGCAGCTGCTTCAGCAGAAGCCAGTTTATTTACTTTCAAGATACATTTGGTCCAGTGGCTTTTAATGTTCAAGGTAGGTTTTTTAAAAATATTTTATCCTGCTTGGTAAACACGGTCAGTCTCTAGGTTTCAAGTAGTGCATGAAGTGCCCATGGGACCAGTTCTCGTCTTTAAGCCCACGGGATGTGGACAAGCAGATGCACGAAGGTACCTCGGATGTGCTCGCACAGCGTGTCTGCTCCCACAGTGCTGCCAGGCTCCGCTGCGCTGCGGGGAAGGAGGCGGCACAGGCTGCAGGATGAGCAGTGTTGGCTTCTGAATATGAGCAGCTCCCCAGCTCCGGTGAAGCAAGTGGCTGATGCTGCTCACTGGTGACAGCAAGGAATGTTCCCTGGCATTTCTCAGTTGTTAATCCAGCTCCAGGAGGTTAGACCTGCCTCAGCTTAGCTTTTTTTTTTTCCCCCTCCTTTCCTTGCTTCATTCATGGAGTGAGGAAACTCAAAAAGCAGCAACCTGTGCCCAGCCCATGTGCTCGGGGGTGCTCCTCGATGCACAGGGTGTGCTGGAGGATGCCCTACCAGGGCCATATCCTAACCTGGATCTTTGCAAGAAGCTTCTACTCTGTGTGGGCCAGGAATGTGGCTTGGAGGATAAATGCTGCAATACCTGGGGTGTGAGAAGACCTGCATGGATAAGATTGCTTAAAAGCCAGTCGTGCTTTTTGCTTTCCCAAAGCTGTTGCTGAAGTTTTCCCAGTAATTTGTTCCCCACAGGGGACACAGTGGGTGGAAGAGCCCAGGGTGGTGCAGAGGCCTGATGCTTGAAGGAGTTTGTGTTTGTGCTCTTTTGACATTCCTGAGCGCTGGCACGTGTTGACAGCACAGCAGTGTGTAGGTACCTGTGCTTCCCTGTGCTTTAAAGGAAAATGATGCTTTCCTGAGCAGATGGGGAGAAGGTGATGTTGCCCTGCATGTGAGATGGTGCACGTTGGGGCTCCTGCAGGCATGTAGGACGCCCCCCAAGAGCCAACCGAAGGCTTCAGTGAATACAGCCGGTGTGTTGGCAAAGCTTCGTGCCAGTCCCTCCTCTGGAGAGGATTTATCTGGCTTCTGAGGTTCAGAGGCTGCATCAGAAATGTATTTACAGTATTCTTTGAGAGATCTGCAGGCAATCCTGTGTGTGAAATCCTGTAAGTGGCTGTATCTAAGCAAAAAGAATGGTATTTCCCTGACAAAGTCCGGCATATCTGGGTCTAGGCTGGAGCTGCTGGGCCGTATGTGTTGGCCATCTTGCCCTAGATGAATCCAGAGAGGTTTTGCTTGCAGATAAATAAAAATTCAGAATAAATAATATAGCATATTAAATATATTATTAATTATATGATAAATTACAGAATACAGATTCTGAACAATAAATAATGGGATAAAAACATGTATAAAAGTTCTCAAAAGGGCAAGGGCTGGCTCGGTGCTCTGTAGTGCACAGCCACACTCTCCTTCCTCCCCTTTCAACTCCACATTCCTTCCTGCAAATCTCTCTGCTTCCTTCTGCAAATTGGGTACCACTGTCCCCTGCCAAGGGTTGGAGGAATCTAGGCCTTGTGCACTTTGCAGCTTCTGTAGATACTTTGGCAAGGGCGAGACAAGATAGACAATAAAATCTGCTGCCAAAAACGTAGTTCTTTCTGTTCCCCACCCATTCCCCCACTTCCATGCTCTGTACAGAAGTACAGTCATCCTTTGTGCTCTGGGGTCTTTGCTGCCATGTGCTGGGTTTGTGCATCCTCTATGATCTATGTTGTCCTCTGCGCGGTTCCCCTCTGCCTTGCCTTCGGCCCCTGTGAGGAACCGGGGACAAACCCTTTGCCCAAAGCACGAGAGGGCTGAGATCTCCTTTTTACTTGTGGGAATTATGTTTTAGCAGTGTTACGGTGCTGCACCCTGAGCAAAGAATCGCTGTGCACTGAGCACGAGGCGTCCGTGCCTGCTCCTTTCCCCTGCTCCCCCATCGTAACCCACCACCGCATGGGCACCAGCGTCTTCCTTCTGCACAGCGTGACATAACACTGCTTCACGCACCCAGAGAGCAAACCTCCGCTGCTGGATCTGCCAACGTGACCCAGTCAGCGTTAGCTGGCCTTGCCCTCCCCGTGTCTCTTTGCCTATGAACCAAATGCAACATTTGCTCTCGCACTCGTACGAGCACCTGGTGTTTCCTCGCTGGTGCGTGCATAAACCTTGGCCTCCAGCCGATACAGCAAATGCTGCCAGTGCTCTTGCCCTACCCTCCTTTCATGATGAGCTGCCCATTTTTTTTTTTTCCCCCCCCTGGTCTCACGCTGCAGTCCCCAGGCCTTCTTGGTCCTGTGTGGTCCAGCCAGCTGTGTGGCTCCTGCTCTCCAGCATGTGTGCTCTTTGGGTTGGAGCTTGGAGAAGCTGTATCCACTGCCAGGAATAGCTTGGGCCGCCGAGTAGGAGGTGGGAGCTGGTAAAACTTAGATCTCCAGGTCTGTGAAGGGCCTCCCAGCTACTTAGTTAAAAACTCATTTATCCACGTGTATTTTGGGGAGAATGCAAAGGCTAGAGGGGTGCTTTGTGTGTGTCTGGGCTCTGTTTTCTTACGTGCGCCTCTTTTTTTTTTTTTTGAAAGGCTTTGAGAACTGCTGCCTGAAAACCTTCAGTGGTGACAACTTCAATTTAAAAGCTTTCTGTCCTGTCATTGACTTTAAGAAGCTGGGTTTAGATTTATAGCTATCTCTGAAATCTACTGTGCAGTTGGAATTTAAAGTAGTGAAAGCCTTGCTCTTGGTTTCAGGTGAAATGGGTATCTCAACGTGTTTGCACAGGGATGGGGGGAGCTTTGTAACGTGTTCAGTGTGTTATTGCACAGCCCATGACCGTAGCTGGGATACTTTTAAGGGGGTGGGTCGGATCTGGTCACGCACATGTGAATGATAAATTTGGAAAGATAAATTAGTCTTTTCGCCTTTCAAAACAGCCAAGTTTGGAAGAATAACACCCTACTTGGCTAGCGAAGCACTGTCAAGTTTATTATGCATTAGAGCTAACCTCCATATAGC